AAAATGGAGTTGTATTATCCGACGAAGAAGTTCGTGAACAAGTTGATACAATTATGTTTGAGGTTTGTTTCAAGATTATAATTTAAAAATAAATAACCGATCGTAATTATATTGGTATGCAGAATGTTAATGATTAATATTACCATTCTAATTATTTTCTTTTTCCACTTCAAACATTTTCATTTTATCGGTTAATCAACGCTTTGATACATTCGCACATAGTATACGAATTGCCGTTTTTGAAAACTGAAATGCTTATATTGTTGTGTTATTTTTTTATTAGGGTCACGATACAACAGCTGCCGGTAGCAGTTTCTTCTTGTGTCTGATGGGTGCTCACCAAGACGTACAGGTAAGGCTTACTTACCATTAATATAATTGTTCTATCTATGGCATATAGACGTTTCCCATGTTGATTTTTGTGCGTTTACGTTTTAGCAAAAAGTCGTCGATGAACTGTACTCGATTTTCGGTGACTCCGATAGACCAGTTACGTTCCAAGACACATTGCAAATGAAATACATGGAAAGGTGCATCATGGAGACGTTGCGCATGTACCCTCCAGTTCCAATTATCTCACGGCAAATCAAAGAGAAAGTGAAACTAGGTGAGTTTACCCTGAGTGCCCACAAAAACGGTGGCGATTTCGGAATTTTCCACAACAATTAACTAACAATTGTAGAATAGTTATACTCCCTTGGCCACCCTCTGGCCAGCACATTATATTATAATTTAGATGATAATATTATGTTCTGCGACCAAAAGCCGAACAACCTATCTTCAGTACTGATTTTTATAATCTAACTCTTAAAGTACTTCTCAATAGGGGAGCTTTTTGATAATTGTTTTACGCGTACGTTTGTCTTATCCGAATTCCGTGCCTTACCCGGAATCCATGCAGTAAATGACTATTATCAGTACCGTCCCCACATACAAAATGCATAATATGTCAAAGTAACTTATTGTAATAACCGATATTTTTTTTTTCAGCCTCTAGAGACATAACCTTGCCGGTCGGCGCCACAATCATCATCGCCACATTCAAAATCCACCGCAACGAAGAAGTATTCCCCAATCCCGAAGTGTTTAATCCCGACAACTTTTTGCCGGAAAAATCGGCTAGTCGCCATTATTACGCGTACGTGCCGTTCAGCGCCGGACCCAGAAGTTGCGTCGGTAAGTCACACTATGATACTTTATTATGTAACATTGCCAACGTATTTTAAAAATACAACATTTCCGTTTCAATTTATCGTATTCCTACGACAGTACTTTGATTTTAATTTCGAATAGTTATAATCTGAATTGTTTTGAGTAACTCGCTGTTGGTTATTACGAACTCGGCTGAAACCACGTTCTATATAGTTATTACGTTTATTTAAAGAATAATACTCTATAGACATAATTGTAATGAGGATCAACCTAAACATTTAAAAATTGACTTGTTTATGATATGAAACACAATTGTATTAAAATAAGGCCAAGGTTGGTTAATTGTTTATTCAGATTTCGACTTAAAGACTTAAAGTATAAAAGTATACATTTATTTTAATTATTAACCTATGCAGAACCTTTCGTGAATCATATTTATAAATTATAATCATCGTATTTTCAATTGTATTTTATGCAAAACGTTTCGTCTTTATAGCGTTGAGTGACATGGTGATTGATAATTGTATTAATAGTCAATAATTAATTCTTTTTTTTTCAGGTCGCAAATACGCCATGTTAAAATTAAAAATTATTTTGTCGACCATCCTACGAAACTTCAAAATAAATAGTAACCTAACCGAAAAAGAATGGAAACTCCAAGCTGACATTATCTTAAAGAGGACTGATGGATTCAAATTAAGTTTGGAACCAAGAAAGTCGCTAGCTAAGACCGCTGCTTAAGTAGCGAATTATTATTATTATTCTATGGAGTGGATAATTTTTTTTAAATGATATATATATTTTAATAAGTTAATACTGAATAACCATTATTATTTGGACTGTCGACTGTTTATTGACTACATGGCTACCAAGGCCGATTTAAATGTTTATTTTTTACATAGTTAACTTTTTATTCTGTACTATTTTATTGTATAATTTGTATTTAAGGAATCTGGAAATTGTAGTTAGACGAAATAAACGCATTTTCTTTTCATTATAAACATAGTTTAATTGTTTTATTTTCAATATCTACCTATCATGTGAACTTTTGATAATATTTTACCTAGTCAAACAGTAAAATTAATTTGATTATTTTAACAGTAGTTAAAGATATTAACAGAAAATTTAAAAAAAGAAAATCACATAGGTACATAGTAAAATTAAATAGAAAAATGTTATTTAAAAAAAAATATTTTTTTGAGCATTTTTTGTTATTCCAACACTGCTATAATTTACGGAAAACTATATCGTTGAAATCGGTTTGAATCGAATAAAAAGTATCCATTTTTAAGTCGAATATCGATGTAATGTTTTAACTTTGTGAATTACTCAGTAACGGTACGTCAACTATTATAAATAATGTTAATGTAAAAATAAGTGAGTGTATTTTTTTAAATTTTCAATGTTGTGGTTAGATTAGTCGTGTTTAAGTTTGGGTATTTGTAAATTAGAGGTACCTACGTAGGAAGAGAATGTGGCCAGTACGTGAGCTATAATTATTATATCAATGGTTGTATGCAATGTGACGTTTGGCACTGCAGACAACAATAATTGAGCACACATAAAATATGTTTATACTTAAGTTTGTGACTGATATACAATGAATTTGATACGAAATGATCGATGTTTTTTCATCTAAGTATAGTGTGAGTGTAGTTATTTTTTCAAACACTTTGTACAGTGGCTATTGGTTCATACTTTTATGTGCTACTTCTGATGGTTATTTTCTGATGAGTGCTATTATTTCTAAAGATTACAATTGTATATTATTAAGTCTCTGAATATTCAATGATTTTAAAGAAGGAAAGTCACAGTACTTTTCTTAATTATTGGGAAAACCATAAAATCAGTATGTAAATGAGAATAAATACACAAATCCACTTATCAATAAAATAAATTTTGTTTTTCTGTGGTAATATTCAAAAATGAATAACCTTACGGACGAAATTTTTACCAAATATTTATATTATTATTTTCTACATACAATGAAATTCTCAAAATATCTATACTAATTTTACGATTTTCATACTACAAACCTATACTCATACCATGAGTTTTTGGCAAAACTTAGTTAAATCTATCCAATAAAGAAATAACTGTTTTTTCCTAGGGTAATCCGTTTAAAGTAAGACATTCTTTATTTCAGAAAGTACTAACATTTTTGAAAATATTATTTTATTATTTTTGAGTACTTATATAATTTTAAGTAATAATGACTAATCTACATTTTTGAAAAAATGATTTTTACTATTTTGAATTACAATATACACTTTTGATTTCATATTCCAAATTATTGTAGAAAATTATTTGGAGTATTTCGATCTACAACAATCAAATTTTGGACAATCAGTTTATATGTAATTAAAGATTACATGAGCTGGGTAGTGGACTAATATTTTACTGTGTAGGTACCTGCAATTTGTACTAGTGCACTCCATACTCATCTAAACTTTAAATACTTATAACTCATAAACTACTACTCCAAAATTTGATACCTATGATAATGACTTATGCATCAAAATATTTTTTTAAAAAATGTTCTGCTTTAGAGTAAGGAATTAAAAATGCATTTCGTCATTAAAAACTGATAACGAGAAAAAATAATACATTTTTTTGGAGACTTGCTTTTTAACGGCTTTAAAGTATACAATATTTAAAAAAAAAACTACTAAACTTTTATTTATTTTAATCTTATGTTAAATGGATCGCCCCTGGTATACAATGATTTATCTTCGATTTCAAATTTAACACATAAATAACACTATTACAGTAACCCATACTAGATGACGATGAAAGTCGAACACTCGAAATAGTCGAAACCTGCAATCAATGCGTAAAGCAGACGAAATTTCTTGTTTTGTTTTGATGTACATTTTTATCAAACCGAATGAAAATGGTTTATTTAATGTCTCCTCCTGCACTGCAATGTCTTATTACAATCATTTGTACATAAATATTTAATAAATATATGCTGACTCGGTGAGTTTAAATAGAAAAACTTTTAAAATCAATACCATCGCTATGAATGGTCAGTTTATCCATGTACATATTTATTTCACGTCAGGTTGTTTGCATTGTATACTTAAGTCCAGGCCCGAATTGGCCCCGTGCGCTGGTATTTATAAGAACTTTCGTTTTTGACTGAACACGGCCTGTGCTCAGCAGTTATCCGCAACGGAGTAGATCAGTAAAAAATTTAGTAACTTGAGAGTTGACAATAAAATATAAATACACTTTACAGAACATCAAACAAGTAACAATATTCCAAAATGTCTTATGAAGTTATCTGCTAAGTTACCAGCTATGTCTATAGATGTCGACGCGGCACTGGCATTGAATATGTGCGTCTCGTGTGCAGCACTTGACTGTGCAATGTGCATTATTATTTATTAATTTCGAATGTAATACATACGAATTCAGAGATTAATTTATCTCGAGGGAGCTATTACAAATTTTTGGATACTACCGCCCCTCCCCCTCCGCCTAGTTGAGCTTGTGTGATCACATCGTGCCCATTGTCATAACGGGTATCGGACATAATTATTTCGTCATCCGACGCTTCCGGTCGGCTTCCGCGGGTAACTCTATAAATTATGTTACAGTAGGTATTTAATATAATATAATATAATAATATCATTGTCTTTGGCGTGGTAGTGCACTGTCGCGCTTGTTTGCGCAATCGTCAATTTATTTATTTACGCCGGTCGGAGGAGAGGAAGATTTTTTTTCGCCGCAGGGACCTAAGCTTGATGGGGGTGGGGGAACTCCCCCCTTTCGTTTGAATACTGGTTTTAATAATAATGTATTATTATTATTATTATTATTATTATTATTACGTGTGTAGGCCGCGTGCGTGTGTGTTAGCGGGCTATCATCCCGTCGGCGAATCGTTTGCACATCACCGTCTCGTACGTTCGGGCGAATGCGGTTCCCGCGGTACAGCTTAGGTAATATAATAATAATAATGTGGAACATTACAGAAGTAACCGATATCAATATAACTATGTCGCGATTATCATAATAATAATATTGTTAGATAATCAATTATCGTGAGTATTGTTTGTTGACTGTTGGGTCTTTAAAAAAAAAAATCATTTATATTTAATATAATAATAATATAGTATATACGTATAGTAGGTACGAATCGACAGTCAATTACCGTTTTTGGTTTTGGTTTTGCTGTTTTTCCAGTCATGAAGACCGACGAAGAAAACGTTAGGTAAGGTACAAGTAATATTTCGTGAATGCACTCACACGCATGTTATAAAAACACTACGATGTGATTTATCATGTCTTTTTGACTGAATTATCGTAATCGAATAATATTACATTTTGTATATTATCCAAAACGCATGTGTCCGACGAGTTTTCGACGAAAAATGTTTTTCCAATAGTTTCGAAAATATTGTCGTCGCTGTTACGAATTTCATATCAATGGCTTATAATTATGCATAATATTCAAATGGATAATATAAAATATTTTACTTACAATGTTTTTAAATTATAATAAATGCGATTTGTATAGTACATAATATTATAGTCAGTATAGTCGCCACCTTTTTAACCTAAAAGATTCGTTTGCTATTTAATTGTGCTTACAAACGTGGGATTTCGATGATTTTTTTGTAATAAGACTACAAAGAATTCTTACAAAATTACGAATATGGAAGTCTTTTTTATATTATTAAAACATATTCTTATTGGTTTAAATTATTATAAAGAAATTATTTATACAGCCCACTGTACCTAAATAATATTCTTTTAATTTTATAATTTTACATCATTCATTATGAAGTTTACGAAAACACCTGTGGTGTATATCATATTAGATTAATTCTAACAGCGATGACTTAATAATGATGATTTACTCTAGCAAATCAATAAATTCTATGTAATTTATTTATGTACTCAAACATAATGGGTGATGTATAAGTACCCCTTAGGTTGGTAACTTAAAATTATGATTAAAAAAATTACTATGATACATAGTATTGTATAATAATTAAATTTACTTTGACAGTACACGTATATATCTATTTTGAAAGTTATAATACACGTTTAAAATCTACATTATATTGTATAATTCATGATATTTGGTATTAAATATTAATATTAACATAATATATTATATAAGTATTGGTATTATATTTGTTTTGAACATTATTAACCATTGCTCGATTTGTTCGTATACAATCGTTATCTTCTGTATTACCGTTGTATGTAGTTACTAGGTACTTATTATTATTACATAAATATATGATGCACTCACATTATTTGTTCAGAATAGAAACGACAAAAACCTTTTCATAATATTCTGTAATTTTTATTTAAAATGAAATAACCAGTAGGTATAATAATATAGTATGACGTTATGAATTATGGTCAAATTTGCAATCGATTAATAGTCATTTGTATTTTGTCAGGCTACTATCAACCTCGTATAGCCTGAAATATGCAAATGTGTTAACTTCCGGCATTTGCTGTAATGAACTCTGCTGTATGTTTTGAACGGTGTTTTTTAATCACGACGTAAGGTGAATGAATACGGTAATAGTTATTAGGTATTTTTCATTCGTCTTGGATAAAAATATGCGCTGAAAATAAAATTATAATAAAGGAACGACCAGAGAGCAATATAAATAGTTTTAACTTTAGAATCGCCACAACACTTTTGATAGCTATTATAATATATATATATATATGATATAAAAATCTCAGGTTATATTTAATACAATATAGGTACACAACGAACTTGCAAATGGTGTAGATATTAAGTATTGTTCCTATTATTTGAAAATAAAAACAATATTGTCTGAAGTCAAGTATAAAGAAATCGACATAAATATTTGTTGAACTGCACCGGTTTATAATTTTTCGGAAAAAAAATGTTATCTGTTCTTTGCTGATGTTACAGTTGGTATTGTTGTGCATCGACATGTTTTCAAATAATTTCCAAAGAGAACACTTACTTCTAAAACTGTTCAAACTTTCAAAGAAGAGTATAGGTGTTATCTCTAAAATTGTGTGGTTGACTTTTTAAAATACTTGGTTACCTATACTTAATAAAATAATTAAATGTGATCGTTAATATTTATATGATTTCATAACTTAAAAATCAAAATAAGTTTATAAATACTAACGGGAAATTACCATAAGTAGCGCAATACATTAGTGAAATTCATTTATGTATCTAATAAATTTATAGTATATCTAAACATCCACCGACACACCGAATGAATGCAAATAGATTACTATTAAATATTAATAATACATTTTGTAACAGTATTTTAGTTATGTGAACAAGTGTATAGACAACTGATTTTTACAGTATAATAATGTGCAATTAATAGGTACAATTTTTATTACAAAATAATCAATGACTGTGATAGTATGTGTATTGTTTGACAAGTGCATTTTTGACACAAACCGTTAACGAATAATAAGTGAATAAAAACCAGTTAGTGGTTGTGCTAAATACATCCGGTGTACGTGTATTGTGTTTATTTTTTCCATGGACGTCATTAAATGCACTCGGGACATTAATGTGGCATTTAAATTTTAATAAGACTCTTGTACAAAGTAGATACATCGGTTCAACAATTTTTTTTTTCTGAAAATTATTTTTTATTGTAACGATTATTTGTAGGCTGGTAGAAAATAGGTTTGGAAAATGCAATATTAAACTTTTTGATACCTACTTATTTCAATATAATTAATTAGTTTTCAACTCCATTGTCTAGCTTGAGATTATATTGATTCCAGCAAAGTAACATTAGGTATAAGTGCTTTACTAACCGATTAACTTACAATTCCAACCCTCGTGTCACCCAACCATCATCTTCAACTATTTGAGGAAGTCCTAAAAAAAGACTATCAGGGGGTGCGTATTACAATCTGCTTATCCAAAAATATTACAAAAAAATGTCGATTAGTATTAGTTATAATGGTGCAGGTCCACGGACGAACTTTATATGGTCCAAGACATTAATTTTTTAAGTATTTATTTTGATGGTAAATTAAATGAAGCTTTCGTTCATTTTAATTTTTCATTTGATTTTCTTTGAATAAATATATACATTGAATTGTGATAGCTCTATAGAAAAGTTTCTGAATTTATAAAATGGTCCTCAAAAAATGTTTATTGGTGAACTGTGATCCCTGAGCCGTCCATTTATTATTAGTTATTACTAATATTTTATGACGACGTATCTACCTCCTTCGGGAGGTCTCTTCACTCAATATTTTAATCTTATTATTGAAACTTATGTCATCATTAAAGATTATTGTTCAGCTCTGTGTAATAAAAACTATGTTTAAAAAAATATATTATGGTCAATATTATATAGTATTATAATAATTGTTGACAAATTATTTTAAGAATATTCTTAGCTTTGTAATTGCCACTATCCGAAAAAAAAAACAGAAAAGCTACTTGTTGATTTTATTAATTAATGGTATTTTAAGTTTTCTATTAATATGATTAAAAACATAACATTATACAATATTACCACTCAAAAATAAATAGGTTTAGACACATAGACATAGTAAATGTACAGTAACAGTGCAATCTATTAACAAATATTCGTGAACAACTTTTAAAGTTTCAATTAATTTCTAGTAATTTAATAATTTACCATTATATTTTCGTATTATTATCAAACATGAATATTATATAATTGTATATTTAGTAATATTAACAATAATTTGTTGTATGCATTGATGGAAAGTTGGACCAGTGAAGGGTCTAATAAACCTACTGGTACAGACATTTCGCCTTCATTAATTAGTGCAAAGGTCACGAGTTCTACTCCCCCAAATGAATTCACACCAAACAAGGATGAAACTTTACCAAGGCCAAATTCTGTACTATTCGAGTAAGTATATAATGTCATAATATTATGGTTTAACTGTCGAGTTCCGTTCAACCAATCGCCAAATATTAAATCTATGATTTAAGAGTTGCCCACAAGGAAACTATGTACAATTTATCATGTTTAGATCTGGCACAAGTCAATCCATCGTAATTTAATCAATTTTTATCAACCCAGTTTGTAGTGCGAAAATATTAATTTTTGTCATTAAAACAACTGTGAAGTGTAATAAAAATCTCTTTGTATTTTGAAATGATTTAGAAAACACACAATTTCGGTAATAATATTATTAGGTCAAACATAAAAGTATAATGGATGATATAGTTAACAATGTTTTGTTGTAAACACATTTTATATACTATGTTATTTTGCCATTTTTGTTTGTTCCCAAGTACTCATCTAGGTAAATTTATAGCAGTGAGCCCATAGATGTATAAGGTATAACCATCATTAGATTATTATATTATAATATTATATAAGGACGATTAATTGCACTATAAACAATGTATGATGATCTGATCTAATGTGTGACAATAAACTCAACTTTACCTATCTAATTAAAGTTAAATTAGACACTTTCAATACATATATAACTTTTTATAATACATATCACCATTATATTATATAATTATAAATTGCACGATTTTCCATTTAAATTTACCGACAGTTAAGGTTTATTAAAATTTAAAGTACATTTTCTACTCTTTCGATACGCAATATTTTAAATAAGTAATTTTTTCCTCAATTGACATATACAATATGGTTCATTCATTTGATTTTGCAAACTTCATTAAAGCTAGCTAGGTACTAGCTAGTATACAATAGCAGTCAATAGAACAATTATTAACACATTGTTTTATTTTGATTAGGATGCCAACAGTAAAGCATTTGTCCACACTGAGCACTTCCGTAAAAAAATTACCTCATCAAATGAAAAGGGAATCGACAATTGAAGAGCTACATAATACCTGGAGAAAAATGGGAGCGTGAGTATATTTCGTTTTTAAGTTGTTTTTGAGGAATATAACTCGAAAAATACATAAGTAGAATTTGTGTTCCCTTGAGATTCCAGTTTCTGAAATTCGACTATAGTACTATACCTTATAATATTGAATATACTAAGACATCTTACACTTTTTTAAATTATATTTTATGCAAAAAGATGAGCATTGTAAGTATATTTAATTTGTCTAAAACGCTTGGAAAAATTAAAATTAAAATTAAAAAACATTGGTTTTTACTCCAGACCAGTTTTTGACAAAACAGATAGAGTTATTTTATGGTGTAACTAAAACACCAAAAACCATAAATATTAAACGTTTTCTCCGAATGTTCATTATTAACATTTTCTGTGAATCATTAAATTTCCAAAATATTTTGAATCCTGTTGAGCTATAATATAAAGGTATAGAAAATGTTCATTAGTTTTTTTTTTAAGTTGTTGATAAAAATTGTTTGCTCGGTCAAAATACTTGAACATTTAATAAATTCTCAAAAGTTGTTGTTAATAAAAATTTAAAAAAAAGGTTGAGCGAAAATCCACAATATTTTTAACGATCATCTGTTGTTTGAATTTTAACAAGAAGTCGTCAAAATCACGAAAATTTGCAAATTATTTTGAACTAGTTGTTTTGAGTCAGTTGTAAAAACTGAATACAAGATTCCTATTATACATAATTCTAATTTAAACAAAAAAATTTACTTGAAAAGTCGATCTACTATTTCATGAGCGTTTGTAGTTATTTTTATCTGTAAATTAACAAATTCTCATGGAACGATTTTCTTTTTTTATTGCAGTTCAAAAACGAATAACAAAAATTAAGAAAATAATTGAAATTTTTGAGAATTGTTTATTTTATCATTTTCTATGCATGATGAAATTTTCAAAATATGTTGACACATATTGAACTATTTATATCAATTTTCAATTTTTTTAAATTTTATTTTGCAGGTATAGACATTATTTTTTGTTGAGCCGAAATACTTGAAAATGTAATAAAGTGTTTCTCATAAGTTGTTATAAAAAAAGTCTAAAAAAATATTTTAGATATAATATACATAATAATAATAAATAATGTACATTTTTTTTTATAAGCATTTAAAATATTTTTTATGACAAAATTCTTCAAAATCTCAAAAATATTCAAATTATTTTGTAGCTACAAATTTATAAATTTCATGAAAATTAATTTTTCTTCTAGAATTTAAGCACTATTTGGAATCGATTACAAAGTGAATTTGGTCTATTATTTTTATAGCTTTAATACACTTTGAGTAATATATATTTTATTCAAACTTATAGGCAAGCTCTTGCTACAACTCTATCTGCTCTCTACGGTAAACTGTTGGTCGTCATGGGCATAGCTTTCCCGATGTCTGAAGTGATATCTACACACATTCCTCATTCATTTTACGAGGTAACGTTTACTATTGACTTATCTTTTATTATCATTTCTTTTATACTGCCCACGTATTACTGCTATTTTATTTTTTGTCTTCAGGGTTATTACTTATACCTTTATTTCGGAAGTATGGCGTTTCTTTTTTACATGTACGCTATGCTCCTCAAAGGCAAGCCCACAATGACACCAGTCAACAATAATTTTAGTAAGTAATGAAAATATTTCGCGGTAAAACCTAATTTAGCCAAACATAATATTACATGCGTTGTTAATACTTATCAATCGTGTTGAAATATATACAATGAAATGTCTAAATAAGAGACAATCTTGGTCACTGAAATTTTGTTTGCTATTCTGTAATAGAAAGTTTGTAGTGGGTTCCCAAAGTTGTCTGTTAGAGGAAGTTTCAGTGTATATAATTGAAATCAGTTGATTTAATTACTGTTATCGTGACACACGTGTCGTGTTTATATAGATAATTCAGTTAGCGATTCGTTATCCGAAGATGGTTCGGGAAACAGCGACGGTGACTCGGAATATTACGAAGACAACGACGACTTCACAAACACCGGTGGCGTTGAAATGGACTATTGGACGTCTTACAACCCGAGAACCCGAAGACAATCGTCTCACCTTGTGTTGCCTTCTACTTTCCAGCATTACGGAAGTTTCTATCTGAGAATGGGCGCTGTGGGTTGGTTGAACATATTAATAAAATATGCTATAATATTACCTATGCTATAATTATCATTCATAAAATTTAACCATTGGTCATAATATCATGTTTTTGTACCCCTTTTCACCAGTTATAAAAATTCACAATACCTACATTAAACAAATTACAATATTGGGCATATTTATTAAATAATTAATCAGTAGTTTTCGTAAGTTAATTTTTCGATGTAAGTACCTACTATTAATTACATAATAATATAGTCATTCTATATTTTAAAAATGCTATCATGAAAGAAGAAAAATATTATTTTCTTAAATCGATGCAGCTAAATACTTCTCTAATAATTAAACTGTGTACAGATTTATAAAACTATCATCTACCCACAATTTTTTCTAGTTATTTGTCTGCAAAAAAAGTATTTTGTTATTCAACTTATAATTATTATGCAACTACACTGTGTATTATCTACGTAGGTATCATCTAGATAACCATAGTAGGTATCTACCAATTCTACCATATTAAATGTTGGGAACGTACTATTCAAAAATGTTGATTACTGTTTTGTTTCGGACTTTTAGAAAACATTTAGATATTTTGGTTTTGATATATTTTAAAAGTCGAAGTCAATGTCATAGGTACTGATGTGAATTTTATAAGACATTATTCATAATAATAAATAATAATACTATAGTATGAGCTTAATAAAATATTTATATTTTTGATTATTTTTGTTTCCAGCTTTCGGCATAGGTAGTATGATTTATTCCGGGCTTGAATTTGGTCAATACTTTGAACTTGAACCCGCGACGAAATGTCACAATGTGCTTCTGGTGCTCACCCCGGCAACAAGAATGGCATTCATATTTATTCAGATGTACTTTATATTTTTGAATGACGAGGTAAGATTTATGGTTGTGAAAGATAGATGGAGCAATACTTTTATCAATTATATAATTTAAAAAAAAACTCGCATAGGTATACTACATTACTAAACTGAAATTTCAATACTGAAATCGTATCACATATATACCTATTAATAAATAAAAACAATATTAATTATTCTTAATGATATTTTAATAATAGTATTGAGTATAAAAATTGTATACAAATATACAATATATACTCAATGGTAGGTACTTACTCATGTAATCATTCCACAAATAGGTATTAACAATCGAGTAAAGTGTAGGTATGTGCCTGCTACAAATGTATCTATTTCGTTAAGGAGTTATGTAAGTTGAATTAGTATTTATTAATAATTACAATTAATTGTAATGGTCGGGTTAAAATGTGTAGATTGCTATAATATGAACTATAGGGCAATGTCTTAAAACAAATCTAAGAATAATTTAAAAAAATAGGTATGATTTGAAAATTAATGTTATTGATAACTTACTATGACTTGCATATTCATATATCAATCAAACATCATACACAGCACAATTGTGTAGTACTTGTAGATATTTTGATAGTCCTTCATTAGAACATGAAAGATTGAAAAAATGTAGTATTTACTATTCACTAATATTTCTTTCAAATGGAACACAATTATTTTTGACTAAAATTAAGTTTTTTAGGATAAAAAAAGTGTAAGTATTAAGCTAATACTAACAACAAAATACGTACACTTAAAAATGTGAAAAATGTGCAAAAATAATCAATGAATATCCAAATATGCTTTAATACTCATTTTTTAAATTTAATTTTCTAAGTAAAATTTCAAATAATTATAAAATGAAAAACTTACTATAATTATAAAAATAAAATACAAAGTATGTATAATAACATAAAAGAAAAATGATTATTTTGATTCTACTTAAAAACAAATGTATAAATAAATATAACTATAAAATACCTACTATGGAACCCAAATATTTTATGCGTACTCAAAAGTTAAATTAAGACTGTATATTTTGTAATTTAGCTTAGAAAATAAAATAATTACAAATTATGTTTTGGTATTATGTATTCAACCTGTTCGTCGGTTTCCTCATTGCAGCAACAAATGAGAGTGACGCGGCACCGAGTTTTGGCAAAGTTTGGACTCATGCACATGATCGGCACTAATCTGTCAGTATGGCTCAATGTACTCGTTCAGGAAACCAAACACGAAATACTAACTTTTTACAATCCGGCGGACAATTCCATCGGTGTCGACAAACAACCAAATCATTTTTCACGTAAGCCCAAACAAACGGTTTACCCGTTAGAACTGATAGGTATAGAACAGTAAATCTGAATAAATTAGTGTTTTCTTATAATATCATTAAATGTATTTAAATTAAAAATTGTATTAAAATTGCCTATATAAGGCCCCTTAACAAGCAGATTATTGGTGTCCTCTTAGTATTTAGGATCAAGTAATCGAAGGGATGCAGAGAGGAGAGCCACTCCTCGCTGATTTTCCGTTATATAATGAATTATTGAATACTCAAGCTGTCATTTTTTTTAATTTCCAATTTGTGTTATACCTATACATTATTCACCTGATATTACCGCCTGACCATTGGCGCAAATAGGAGGGGGGGGACTTATACGTTCATAATAATTTATTTATAAATCATCTTTGAGCATAAATTTGTGTTGTGTGTGCAGTGTTCAAAAAGTGGACGACCACGACGACCCAGTCACCGGCTTCGGCCATGTCGTCGGTGGCCGACCGGCTGCGGCGCAGCATCAACACGGGACCCCATCACATTTACGAGTGCCGCCGGACGAACATAATCGGGTCGCTGGTGCAGAACGCCAGCCCGTTCCTGTTTCCGTGCACGATTGAGTACAGCCTGATATGCGCCGCCATACTGTACGTGATGTGGAAGAACATCAGCCGGGTGCATGCTGACGTGTACCGGCAACGGAAGGCGGAACGGTGTGAAAACCTGGCGCAAATCACTCACTACCGGAAGTCACCGCACTATTACTCGGTGGATTGCGCACAGGCGCACAAAGGCTTGTTCGTCGGCATACTATTCTTGGTGCTCACCATCATCTCTCTAATACTGTTCTTCGTGCTTATTTCCCGCCCGGAGCTCATCACGTTTGCCGTCATGGAGGTGAATGTCTGCGAGCTGTCACTGTACGGTATGACCACTCTGGCCACCATTGTCGGCATGATGCAGGTCCGTATGACAATATTATTATGTTTTCGGGTTAGATTAAGTCCCCCAATAATGACAATATCTCACCAGATTTTAATAACTTGCTGAACATTTTTCAGTGTTAATTTTCAATTCGCTAAGGGCTCGCATAAGTTAATTTACTAAAAAACACTTGATTTGCGTATGAATAATGCCGCCATATTCTTAAAAATACTTAAATATGCAGTGAAAAATCTTTATTAGGCACGTATTGAAAACTTAAAAACATAAAAAAATAACTTAACTTTTTGTTTTTTATTAACAATACTATAATATCATAATAATATTTTTGATTTCAAAAGTTAGGTTAAATAGTTGCTAAATGATAATAATTCTTTTTTTTTGTTCAGAGTTCGTTTATAATCGATGTGAGTCCTAGTATGATGATTTGAGAAAAAGTTATTTAAAAAAGGATAAGAAGTAAGACTATGATTTCAAAGAACCAATTTGGGTTTATACCAACAAGATAAAAAATGTTATGTATAGGGCAGATTGTGGAGAGTGAAAAAAAGGCATTTGTGTATAGACGTATAATGTATAGCCGTATAGGTATTGTGTATAGATATGGAAATTGCAAGAAATAGTGTTTCAAGAAAGATATTGTAGTGGATGAGAAGAAAAAGAGTGAAGAGTGTATGTGGAGAAATAGTAGAATTTAATGTAAAAGTAGATGTTTATAGAGATGTAAGCAGCTAGTATATTAAAATTTTTTTATTTTGTAATTTATAATAACTATACTTATAAGAAGTTGTTAGTTTTAAATTGTGAAAATTACTTAAACGATGGAAATATCAATAAATGTAGGAAAATAACACTCAACGTTTATAGGTACTGAAGTAAAAATAAAAAATGTTTAATAATAGATAAAAATACATGTTTATTATTAAAATATGTATTTGGATTTTGTATTTTCTATAGTATGATATTTAATATAGAATAATATTAAAATGGGTAAATGGTAACCTAACCGTACTGAACGAATATTTTGAGCCCAGTGTTCCCTAATCAATGTGGTCCGAGGCTCTTAATTTCCCCGTCATCTGGCCTTGTGATTATGATTATGATAATGTTAATAATCATGTTCCTATCGTTTAACACTTATGTGTCCTACACAACCACAGGTCAGGCAGCTAAAGTTCGATGGACTGCGGAATCTTGAGCTGGACAACATACTGCTGGTGGGCGCACAGACGGGCACGTTCATATACAGTACATTCACGATAATCAGCGGTCACTTCACAGAGGAGAACAACACGATTCTGGTGCTGATCACGGCGTCCGCGTCGCTGGTGCAGACGTTTTGTCAGACGGTGTTCATACTGGACGCGTCTCGGCGGTCATGCGTCACTCCCGACCAGATACGCAAAAAGCCCGGCCGAGAGATCGTCACGTTCTTGCTGGTCAGCAACCTGGCCATGTGGGCCATCAACACGCTGGAGAAGTCCAGGGCTGACTCGCATCCCATACAGCTCCATTTCTATGGCCTGTGGGCGTGGACCATAATCACGCACGTGTCCATGCCACTGGCCATATTCTACAGGTTCCACTCGACCGTGTGCCTGTGTGAGATCTGGAAACGGTCGTACAAGATCAAACCGTCATACATGTGAAAGAGGTGTGGTCCGCCCCACGTCCTTCACCACCGTGCCACAAAACACTTTAATATATTATAATATAACCGATAATATTATTATGAGTTATTAGATATTCGGTGAGATCGCTTCAGGGGACTGAGTCGTTTTCGATTCCTGCAGTTCGGTTCCCAAGCTCTTCAATATTTCAGTACCGTCATAAAGTATTTACCAGTTTCGTTATAAAATAGGTATTCACAGATCCATGTAAATTGTGTACGATATGAGTAGGCAGTAAATTCCACCTCAAAATGTTCGAATATACAATTTAAGTGCGTTTAAATTCGGTAGTCAATTAATTGATTTTCAATTGGCTGTTTTGGTTCCAGTTTCGAATTAGACATTATAAAAAGTAAGCTAAGTTAATTCCCGTTTAAATGTGAGACATCTTTTTATTTTAATCCAGTAAAGACACCATCTGTTGAAATTGTTTACACCTCGATTGACATAAATTAAATCTACAATTCACAACAATAGTCAATACTACTGTATTGCTTTGCTTTTGTAAGTTAAAGATGACAGAAACATAGATACAAATTTCCTACCTTGATACAAATTGAAAATAATTGGTAGAACTATTTTGGATATATACCAGGATTTTTTTTAGGGTATGTCTTCATTTTATATTTAGATACATCGTGTAGGAAGTGAGAGGCTTTATACACAATCCATTGAATTCGTCTATCTCCATATTAATAACATCAAATATTAAATAGAACCTTTAACCATGTGCCATAACATATTTTGTAGAAATTTTAATCATATTAATATGTCATATGCCATATTATGATACCTATATTATTTGCATAAATACTGCCGATAGAATGTGTTTTAACACCCAAAACAGATTATAATAACTAAAATTGTATAATGTGAGTAATTGGTTAAAACTTAACGGGAACCAATGCGGCTTTAATTCGAATGAAAGTAGATGGATGAGATATGGCAATTATTCAATGAGTTATAGTCTTGTCGTCAGAATCAGGCGTAAATTATTCCACACAAACTATAAATTCAATTTAGCAAAATAAAGAGTATTATAAAATATTATGAAGCTTACTTTAAGAATAAATTCGTGTTCACCACATATATACCAAAGGTTATGGATAAGTTTAGTATTTTATCTACCTATAGGTAATATTTATATATGCTCTGATTGCCTACTAAATGCGTCCTAGATGTCGAAGAGCACCAATGCTTACCTTATTTACTGAATTTTATATATTTTTATTGATTAAGTTGTCAGTAACAATTATATTTAGTTTAAAACAATCTTTTAGTCTTCCATGTTCCACAGCTGTAAGTAGAAAGCTGCACCTAGGTATATAACAAAATTTTGGCTGAATTTCGTGATTCCAAAATGTAAGCTAATATCTATTATTATTGGAGAATAATAACTTGTTAGTTATTTATACATTCAAAATTATTATCAGTAGGTAAAACCTTTATATATCAGCTCATTTTGGGTGAATTTGCAACCATATCTGCAACCCATTTATACGAAACTGGCAAAATGGTTGTATAACTAATCAAAACTAATTTTTCATAAAAAAATTTATAAATGATGAAAATACTATGTTATTTATAGAAAAAATGTTTTATCAAAACAACAGTTTCGGTTTCTAAAATATTTAAATAAGATTTACAGCAAGATTTCAATTTTAAAACTAATTTTAACTCTTTCAACGACGTGTCTTTACACGCCCACGCTACAAAAACCAAATAGATATTATTGTATTATTATGTATTATTAATTGTTATATTAAAATAATTGAATGACTAATGTATTAATACACATATTTATACATACATACATATATATATTATGTTAATATATTATATTGTGGTAGACGGTTATAATAATTATAAATGAATCGCCCAAGTATGTACTTTTACTTATTATAATATGAGAAATCTGAAATATATTTCATAATGTTAAATCAATGTCAGTATGTATCTACTTACCTAATCACTAATTTGTGTTCACTTAGGTAATTAAAATATACAGTATACTTACCATACAAAGTATTTTTTTTAAAAATTATCAATTATCATTGGTGTGGACTGTGGACACTATACCGTATTGCAAAATATAAATTCGACAAGCTACTCGCCTACTCCAGTTATGTATACATCTATAGGACAACTAATAATTTTCTTGTCAAAATATATAAATATTGTCTACTGGTATTACCAAATTAACCCTCTCCCTCTTGAACTTTTAACCGGTTTCAAAACTGTGTTTTCGAGTTTCACGTAAGTGTTGCAGTGAAACCACTCTGTAAATAACAGGGTTTAATATTGACTTAAGCCTCCGACGTGATGCATTGTTTTAGACGAAAACTGAGTTTGGTTAATTATAAATTTTTAACTTGAATTCGTCAGTATTAACCGTTTTGCCCCCTTTCGTAGCATAGCTTATGTTTGCTTAAAATAAATTATATTTAATTAGTAGGGAGATTATCATCATATATGTTACTCATATAAAGACTAGATTTTGGATACTGTTATCTAAATTATATATCAAACATTTGAAGCAAACTTTAAAATAGTTACAGGTTCAAAAAAAAAAAAACCAATACAATGATGATAACTAAACCATTGAATATTATAGTGTTTTAATATTTTTGTTTTAGCTTTTTTTTGTCATAATATATCTTAATACATTTCTAAGCTAAACATAATTTCATAAAAAAAAAATTTGGTAAACTAAAATAATTAAAAGTGGTTTTAATATATTGTAACTATATTTTACTGGTTAAAATAATAAATACAATTAAAAATTACCTAATCATTTATTGGTATCGCAGTAGTTTACCACAAATGATTATTTCATACAACTAATGACACCAATAATTATTATGTATAAATATATTATATATTATTAACAATAATCATTAAAATCACGTAAATTGTTCCAAAAATAAATTTTGTAAATCACATTGGTATAAAGATGAATAATATTATATTATAAATATTAATAAATAATATATTATATTATTGGTATACTTCAATAAATAAAAATACTAATGACTTGTCGCCTAACAGAACACATCAATTTTATGTTTAATATAATATAGGTATTAGAATATTTATGTAAAGAAATATTAATAATGAAAAAAAGATTGATTTTTAAAAATTAATTGATAGCTCAGTATCGGTTTCTCAAACACACCGAGCACCTGCTGATACGTGTTTGCAATGTATTTTGTTTGAGTGTCTGGGGCCGGGGCTTCCTGAACATATCTCGGTCTTCGATTGTAGACAACCAATACGAATAAGCGGTGGTGTAGAAGTTACAGCGTCCTATTCCGTGGCACTCAATAAAAGGTCTTGGTCTAAACTCTTCCAAGCACGAACCAGGGCTGACCAACGACTGGCCGCCACCATCAGCACCGGAATCGGTATGCTAAAAACCAAAAATGAATAGTTAGTTTTTATTTGCATATTTATTTTGCATGTAAAATAATGTCATGTTGAAATGTCGGTGGTAATTTTTAAATGGTTGGCCATTTAAGTTGTATAACATAGATGAAATATAAGGCATATAATAAACCAAGGTTGGGCAAGTTAATGAAAATAATTAACTGTGATAAATTAAGTTAATTCAATTAAATCGTCTTTAGTTAAAAGCTAAAAGTTATCAAACAAAATATTTAAATCTTTAACTTTAAAATTAAAATAGAAAATTAAACTGTTTTTAACTTAAAATATTTTTTCGAGCTACAATATTTTTATGTCATAAAGTGCCATAGTATTTTGATTTACACAAACATTTAACAAGACATTTGACACTGTGGTAACATCAGATTGTTATGATATATTATTAGAAAATAAATGACCAAAATCGAAAAAGAGTCAACTCATCAATAATTAGTATTGTTGGTTGGTTTCTCATGATACAAAAAAAAAATTAACTCAACAAACAATAATGATTATGAACTATTAAAAATGTAGTTACAACAATATAATTTTAACTGAATAAGTTATTAAATTAAAAACAAAAATAATTAATTGATTAAGGTAAAATGTTTAAAAAGTTATCTTTTTTACAACTTAACGCCCACCTTTGAAATAAACCGTGGTTCTAGCTATATGGTATAGAACATATTTAATATATGTATTACACATATTACATTTATAAGAACCATATATATTTATATATATTAACTACAATCATATCCTCATAATCTCAAATTTTTCTACGAGAAACTCTTTTGAGAGTCTCATGGGCACGCTACTTACAGATAATTTGAGTAATCTATTTAATAATTTTCACTATGAACATTCAAACAAAAATAACTATTTCAATGTTTTTTCAAATTTTACTATATAATTTATTGATGAAGAAAATGTAATATTTTTGTGTTACTAACCATGATAAAACTGTATCCAATCCACAATTCACTCCAACCATTTGGACATTCGGGTATGGCCATTGATTGACTGTGCACTGCAATTACTTTTGTTGGAGCTTCACACACTGAACACCTTTAATTATAAAAAAACATTTATTTTTAAAATGTATATTTAATAACATGTAGAAAAATAATTAAAATAAAAATATTTTTAAATGTTTTACACTGACCTTGATATGAATTTTGAAATATCTGAACCTAGAATTGGTGTCATCATTAAAGGCATCGGCTCCGGAGTACTTAGCCAATAACTGTAATCGTTTCTACTCCCATAATTACATACTTCGTTTACATCACAGAATAAGAATGGCATAGTATTGAATTTTCTCAAACAACTACCCGGTGCACCTAAGAAAGTAATATACATACATAAAAAAATTATGAGAATGAAATGAAATCAAACAAAATCATTTAAAACTTGAAGCTTTTTCGCTTACCTAAATCTTGTCCATGTGCTTTAGCATTTCCCATAAAATGTAAAAGCGAATAACCAGACCAAAGTTGAACAGTGTTCTTTGGACACGCTGGAATAATATCGGTTTGGGAATGATATGTGAAGAAATTACCTTGGTGTGGCGGTGGTTTTGTTGGCAGAGCATCACTACCAGGCAATCCAGGTCGACCTAAATGTTACAAAAATCATACCTATTGAATTAGCAACGAGTGATAAACTAAATAAAATTATATAACATATCTAACTAACTTATATATAAATATAGGTATAATATTGTTTTGCTGTAAGAATAATAACTTATATTAAAATAATGAATAAAATATTATTAATTGATTGCATGAGTTACCTGAAAATCCTCTTGGACC